ATACCACATGTATGGCGCTGGAGTCGGCCCCATAAACCGCAATCGCATACATGTTAAACGTGTTATTACTGTACGATACAAAACAGACGTTACTGTGCATTACCGTGAAGGGCATATTCCATTATTGATTATAGTTTGTAGGAATAAACAAAACAATGTTTAAACCAGATCGCAGCTGTGTCCACAATCAAGTGTACGTTGTCGACAGCTACATTTATCACACATTACAATGACAAGGGCAGGATGATTTCTGAATAATAAAATGGATAGGTTGGCATAAACGAACTTTCCATAGTATGTTGATTCCACTTAGATATCATGCATATTTGATGTGTGTTTGTTTGTTTGTTGTTTAACGAAACACTCAGCAATATATATACGGCAAGCATGGGTTGCTGTAGATCTATTCTGCCCCTGATCTTAACGGGATGAACACTACAAGTAGAGACCGATGCAAGCAGTAGATGCCTGATAGCAAGTGTAACACAGCGAATAAATGCATCATGTTTGTTTGTTTGTTGTTTAACACCGCATTTAGCAATATTCCAGCTACATGTATATGACGGCGGTCTGTAAATAATCGAGCCTGGACCAGACAATCCAGTGATTGACATCAGTAGCATCGATCCACACAATTGGGATACGATGACATGCATCAGCCAAGTCAGCGAGCCCGAGCACCCGATTCCGTTAGTCGCCTTTTACGAAAATGAGTGAGTGTGGTTTTACGCCGCTTTTAGCAATATTCCAGGAATATCACGGCGGGGGGCACCAATATGGGCTTCACACATTGTACCCCTGTCGGGAATCGAACCCGGGTCTTAGGCGTCACGAGCGAACGCTTTAACCACTAGGCTACCCGACCGCCCCCTCTTTCGACAAGCATAGTCGCCTTTTTCGGCAAGCATGGGTGCTGAAGACCTATTCTACCCCGGATCTTCACAGGTCGCATGTTTGATGATTTGCGTTCAACGAATCAGATGCACTAAAATAGTCGATATGTTTAATTATTTTAATGCAGGTAAGTTCTCATAAAGAGTTTATCTATTTTTTATTTTACACTTTTTTTAAACAAACGGATCTTTTAATTTGACTTTGAAAACTATGTACGTGAGGATAAAAACAGGCTACTTCGGAGTACTGTCTGTCTGGCCAGAATCTATCATTTTGTATTTTATTCAGGTTTCTGCACATAGAAATCGTGACACACGTGCAACTCGCGACAGTTCGTATTGCATATGGGAACATCTTCTCCGCGCAGGTGCGGTCATCAGAACTTGAACTAACATCAATTTACAAAAAAGTGGTATAATAATAATTTTGGCGTTTTCTGTTGCTCTATGTGACAGGTATAAAACTTCTCCATGCAGTTTTGGTTGAAATCCCAAACAGCGGAACTATTAAACTAACGAGTTCAGGACAAAAGCCTATTTCTTAACCTTCATTTTCAAACAAAATATCATGGGCGTGTTTATGTAACCTATTTTTTTAATTCACACTAAGTGGATTAAATTATTTGCGAAAATGGGCTAAAACAATAATGCTTCATTTTGTTTCGTTGTGTTTCGTTTGGAATGTTAGGTACTCTTTTCGATCAGAAAAAACCCCACTTATTTGTAAACATTTGGCCGATTTGATGAAGAAACACAGCATTAACTTTAAGTGTTTATCACTAAACGATATTAGAACTATTTCTCCTTTTTAGTTGTGTTTTTATCTTTAAAAGTAGGAACTAGCGTAAACTGGAAATGTAATAAATTTGGATGAGGTTTGGTTCTGTGAGTTCCAATCCAATCCAATCGGGCTCGGGACAAGCCAGACCAGTGATAGATACTATGAACAACGTCTCACGGCGTCGGAGAACGATGGCACACAGTCATCAAGGTCACTAAACCTGATCGCCAAATCATTTTAGTCGCCTATTGCAACAGAAACAGGAATTTTGTAACGTATTCCAAAACTGGCCCAGTCGTCTAAGGCGCCACGATTCGCTGTGCAGAGTTGCGTCCCTTGGGCACACCAGAAACCTATGATTGTGGGTTCGAATCCAGGCTCGCCAAGATTATGTTTCTAGGTTTGTCAACACAGTACCCGTGCTTGTGGGTTTCACCAAAGTGGTTAACGTCTGAGACCTGCATCACTTCGGGCTTTCCTCCCACATTAGGCTGTGATGTAACTTGAATATATATATACTGTTAAAGCGGCGTTAAACCCAACTTATACACACACTGAATCCCCAACGAGCCCTCTAGTCTTCTGTATTTGTGTTAAGATTTATCTAAGCTAGGTCGTGAAGATGTGACCAGCCTTGTTCTGACGGTCTGGGTCAGTGTACAGTGGTCACTACATACCTCTACATTCAGATTCACTCGAGTAATTCCGTTGGCTATACAGTATTTAAACAAACGGATCTTTTAATTTGACTTTGAAAACTATGTACGTGAGGATAAAAACAGGCTACTTCGGAGTACTGTCTGTCTGGCCAGAATCTATCATTTTGTATTTTATTCAGGTTTCTGCACATAGAAATCGTGACACACGTGCAACTCGCGACAGTTCGTATTGCATATGGGAACATCTTCTCCGCGCAGGTGCGGTCATCAGAACTTGAACTAACATCAATTTACAAAAAAGTGGTATAATAATAATTTTGGCGTTTTCTGTTGCTCTATGTGACAGGTATAAAACTTCTCCATGCAGTTTTGGTTGAAATCCCAAACAGCGGAATTATTAAACTAACGAGTTCAGGACAAAAGCCTATTTCTTAACCTTCATTTTCAAACAAAATATCATGGGCGTGTTTATGTAACCTATTTTTTTAATTCACACTAAGTGGATTAAATTATTTGCGAAAATGGGCTAAAACAATAATGCTTCATTTTGTTTCGTTGTGTTTCGTTTGGAATGTTAGGTACTCTTTTCGATCAGAAAAAAACCCACTTATTTGTAAACATTTGGCCGATTTGATGAAGAAACACAGCATTAACTTTAAGTGTTTATCACTAAACGATATTAGAACTATTTCTCCTTTTTAGTTGTGTTTTTATCTTTAAAAGTAGGAACTAGCGTAAACTGGAAATGTAATAAATTTGGATGAGGTTTGGTTCTGTGAGTTCCAATCCAATCCAATCGGGCTCGGGACAAGCCAGACCAGTGATAGATACTATGAACAACGTCTCACGGCGTCGGAGAACGATGGCACACAGTCATCAAGGTCACTAAACCTGATCGCCAAATCATTTTAGTCGCCTATTGCAACAGAAACAGGAATTTTGTAACGTATTCCAAAACTGGCCCAGTCGTCTAAGGCGCCACGATTCGCTGTGCAGAGTTGCGTCCCTTGGGCACACCAGAAACCTATGATTGTGGGTTCGAATCCAGGCTCGCCAAGATTATGTTTCTAGGTTTGTCAACACAGTACCCGTGCTTGTGGGTTTCACCAAAGTGGTTAACGTCTGAGACCTGCATCACTTCGGGCTTTCCTCCCACATTAGGCTGTGATGTAACTTGAATATATATATACTGTTAAAGCGGCGTTAAACCCAACTTATACACACACTGAATCCCCAACGAGCCCTCTAGTCTTCTGTATTTGTGTTAAGATTTATCTAAGCTAGGTCGTGAAGATGTGACCAGCCTTGTTCTGACGGTCTGGGTCAGTGTACAGTGGTCACTACATACCTCTACATTCAGATTCACTCGAGTAATTCCGTTGGCTATACAGTATGCCTCGAGCAGCAATATGGAGTTGTGACAATGCATGGTTTCACAGGAAACTGCCTACTGACGGTTCCCTCTGTATATAGTTCCCGATTTTCTGGTCAATATCCCGTTTACTAACAATATAAGACATCCCAACCTATAATGTTTTGTTTATTTGTTGTTTAACGCCGCACTCTGCAATATTCCAGCTGTATGACGGCGGTATTTAGTAATCGAATCTGGACCAGACAATTCAGTGATTGACACCACAAGCATCGATCCAGGCAATTGGGATACGATACATGCATCAACCAAGTGAGCGAGCCTGACCACCCGATCCCGTTAGTCTCCTCTATCCCGTATATCCCGTCCTACCAGAAATATGACATATCCCGTCCTACCAGCAATATGACATGTCCCGTCCTACCAGCAATATGACATATCCCGTCCTACCAGCAATATGACACGTCCCGTCCTACCAGCAATATGACATGTCCCGTACTACCAGCAATATGACATATCCCGTCCTACCAGCAATATAACATACATCCCGTCCTACCAGTTATATGACATATCCCGTCCTACCAGCAATATGACATATCCCGTTCTACCAGCAATATGACATATCCCGTTCTACAAGCAATATGACATGTCCCGTCCTACCAGCAATATGACATATCCCGTCCTACCAGAAATATGACATACATCCCGTCCTACCAGTTATATGACATATCCCGTTCTACCAGCAATATGACATATCCCGTTCTACAAGCAATATGACATGTCCCGTCCTACCAGCAATATAACATACATCCCGTTCTACCAGAAATGTTACTTAGTCTCTTCTACCAACAATACTAGTCTGTTTTTCAAATACCATTACATTTCCCGTTCCACCAGCAACATTACTGTACCGTTATACATTTTCATTTTAGTTTTGACATATTCGCTTCAATTTTCAGCGATTCAGTACCTACTTTATACATGATTTATCACATATTTGTATGACAAATCGTGTTTATTTGCAAAAGGTTACGATAACAGTAAGTGAAATATCAAAATATTGAAAAACAGACTCCATGTCCCTTATGGGCCACCGTACATTCTACCAGCAATATTACATATTCCTTCTGCCAGGAGTGCAGTAAATCTCATACAAATCGTTTTGAATTTTAGCCATCGACTTTATTTGCATCTTCCCACTGTCCTCTTTCCCCACTACTCCCCATCTATTGACGCTGACCTGTAGCTGGCAGAGTCAGTGGTCAGTCAGTGGTCAGTGTAAGTAAACATCTCACCTTTCTACACAAAGGCTTCTTCTTCCCGTCAATCACCTGCACCATCCCGGAGTGTCCCTGCTTCGTCATACTTCCACGTTAATCCTTATCCACGTTAATCCTAATCCGGGAAGAAAGTCCACAGGTTCCTCTTTGCAACAATGACTGCAGTTTCCGTTCTACTCACTCACTCACTCCAGAATATCACTTCCTGATAATATAACCGGTTCTAAGTTTAAACTGCTTGCTGTCAGTGTCCAAATCAGTCAAAAACTAAACCCACGCCTGATGTGGAGTCTCTGTACAACACGAGCTGTCGTTATCACGTCCTCTTTCACAGCGTACTCAGTGCCAATAACAAACAGCCAAGCTTCACTGTATCCCGACTCCACCCTGCTGCATATTCCCCGCCAATATTCAACTGATGCGCCAACCTCCGCGCTCGCTGTCAAGCCGTACCGCTAATTCAAAATTGATAAAGCCTATCGCATTGCTGCAGACTATGGCGTTTCCTTTGTCACTGGCATTGAACAGCGCGAGTACATCTGCAGGAACAATCCATCGCCGCGCGTGGCGTACAGTGCAGGGCGCGGCTAACTTCCCCTCGGCCGACATGTGGCTCGCATTCGGCCTGATGTGGGTCAGAGGGCTATTACTGAAGGACGCCATTGGACGAAACATATCATTTTGATGACGAATAATTAAAAAAACAAATTTGGGCAGGACATGCTTACCCTTTTCGCGAACACCTGGTACAGATGCGCATGATATCATTCAATGATCTCTTCATATTCTTTTCACCACTAGTTTGTCTTTCACGGCCCATAGCATCTGTTTCCTTGGATGATCGAGACTAGTTATTCTCTGGTGTTGGCGTTTTATATTTATGTGCGGTAACTGTAATATGTAACACATTTTCTTAAGTGAGTTATCTACTGATAATTGTCTTTCATATAACGAGCTGACCCTTAAAGATCCGGGTTAGGATAGGCCTTCAGCAACCAAGGCTTACTGTAAAAGGCGACTATGCTTGTCGTAAGGGGCGACTAACGGGATCGGGTGGTCAGGCTCGCTGACTTGGTTCATGCATGTCATCGTATCCCAATTGCGATGCTCATGATGTCAGTCACTGGATTGTTTGGTCCAGATTCGATAATTTACCTACCGCCGTCACATTGTTGAGTGCGGTGTTAAACTACTAACTAACCTATAACGAGCACGGGCGCACAGATGGCCCACTCACCCAGTGCACTATAATTCGCTGTGCAGAGTTGCGTCCCTTAGCCGTGCCAGAAACCTATGCTCGTGGGTTCGAATCCCAAAGTGGTAAAGGTCTAATGAAAGCATCACTTCGGGTTTTTTCTTTCACTACAAACTAACACGTCGTGGTATAAGTGAAATAAAACTGTTCAACCACGGCGTTCACTCACTCACTCACGCACTCACGCACTCACGCACGCAAGCTCTCACACACACACGCACACACACACACACACACACGCACACACACACTCACTCAGCATGATGTGTGTCACAATTTTCAATTTTCAGTTAGAAGAACAAATAAACTCGGCATATGTTTTCTAGCCCCTCAGTTCGACTGATTTGGTTGAATGTGCCAAGTTTTGTGTTTAGAACACTTTTATTTCAGGACATTCATAATTTTCAACAAACAATTATGCTATTTTTTAAATTTGCGAGAAGTTATTTTTGGCAAATTATATTATTTAAAAACAAACAAGTTTCTACCCCACCCAATTAGAATATCAATTGGTTGGTCCGGTTCCCCAAATTGCTTGGATATTGCTAAACGCATTGTAGGCAGATAGCGGCGGACGATATTACCAGAACGGGTATTTGTGTGGCATATAGCATACATTCATTTTGTTTTAAACACGAGCATTAGTTGGAATTGGGTGTGATCATTTAGAATTGTCTGATTCATTACACACCATTGGACAGAGAATGTCGCGTATCATATCAAGTCTCCCATGTGTGACATACAGACACGAAGATACACGTCAGGACGAAGACCATTGATTAAATCATCTAACCAACAGAGAGTTTTCAGCACCAGAAAAAAACGGCAATCAATTTTACTCTCATGCATTTTTTATTATTTGGGTGAAATATAAGACTTCTGAAGGAGCCTGTAAACTGACGGTTACTTTGGTTTCTCCCCGTTGGGGATTCCGGGGCAGAACAGAGCCCCGGGCCCTCGTGGTTGCCGTAAAAGCCAACAGGTAAGGTGAGGTGAAATGGGGTTTAACGTCGCGTCCAAGATTATTGCACTTATATAGCGACGTTCATGCACGTGTGTGTGTTTGTGTGGCTGCTTGTACTAGTCCGGACTGATGCCGATTTATAGTGCTAGCTCACTGAGATACCATGCCGCAGTTTAACATGAATACCCCACTCAGACACAGTGTACTGACTCCGAGCCGACCAGTCCTTGCTTTAGCCCCTTAATGCCGAGCGCCAGCCCGAAGTGATGCAGGTCTCAGATGTTTACCACTTTGGTGAAACCCATGAGCAAGGGTCTGGTGCTGACAAACCCAGAAACATAATTAGGGCGAATCCTGATTCGAACCCATGATCACAGGTTTCTGGCGTGCCAAAGGGACGCAACTCTGCAGAGCGAAATGCGGCGCCTTCGACGACTGGCCAACCAGTGACTCTATCGATAGGTTACCTGGGTAAACGTGTCATCGTCCCCCGATGGCGTCACGGTATGCGTGGAACGGTGCTCATGATATTAACCACTGCTTTGCCTGCTCAATGCTCGGTTATCTTAACAACAAACAACAAACGAACGAACGAACATTATAATCGAATAACCATTTCTTATGTTTCATTTTAAACCACCATCAAATATGGGTGCATAGTTTCTTTTGCCCGGCTTTTTGATATAAAACACCCTATCAATGTTATCGAACTGAGGTAATGATATTGTCGAGCCTCGACTTTGTAACCAGTGCCATACGTGAAAATGGGCCATCATCTGTGGCCATCATAAGCTGCTGGACTGGTAACACCATTTTTGTATATGGCCTATCCAAGGTACTGTTGGAACGATTTGAATCAAATTTGTTGGGACTGCTCATTTATCAAGCTTACACTCCCTTTAATTGAGCATTAGGACGGATCCCTTGTTTTTACTGCACTAGATTCCAGACAGCGAATTTAATATCACGTGTTTATTTTTTAAAGTCAGTAGGATTTAGAAGAATAAAAGTATGAGCGGATCAATGGTATTGCATGTCAGTACTTCAGAAGTATCGAACGTCAGCGGTGCGAAGAATACAGCAGCTGCTGCTTTATATTCACCTTAAACAGGCGAATTGCGTGTTTATGCAATCTTATGAAAATTCATGACTTAAAATAAATAAATACATGAAAATATTCCAATATAACGGGAAGGGGGTGGGGACATCCAGGCATGGACTTGTGGATGGCATTTGTGGAGGACGTTTTCCAATTTGACACATTGGGGATGTTCGATGCAATTTCCTAGTTTGACTCAGGTCATGACTTGCCTTTGCATGTGTTTGTGACGGGTGCCACCGGGTACGCGATGATTGTATATTGTTATAGAAATGTTGCAGGGTGTGTGTGTGTGTTGGGGGGGTTGGGGGGGGGGGGGGGGGGGGGGGGGGGTGTTAGATGAGCAGATAAAGTGGTCACCTGTCACACCAAATATCCGGGTTCGATTCCCAACCAGGTAATGTTCATGATGTACGAGTCGTATCTCATTGTCCCCGCCATGGTATTGATAGAATATTAATTATGGTGGGGGAAAAGGTTTCCCTCTCGTAATATGCATGAAGTATCATTTATGTTTTCGATACGGGATTCAAGGGCATGTCATGCAGGCACGTATTGAATAATGGATCATATCTTTTCCGATTTATAATCTAATCTCTTTATAGTAAAGTAGCTATTCGTGTCCAAGATAATACGTTTTTTAATGGTTATTTAGCCATAAATGAGACATCGGAATAATGAATGAACAGGAAAATAATGTTAAAAAAGTTAAAGTATTCATATTCATAAGGTGCTCTGCTACGTAACAACTGGTACTGATGAACCGCCGCAACATGAACCGCTGTCAATACTTCCGGGCTTGTATACAGTTCCTTCGTCTCAGTGTATACCTGCTGCCACTGTGTGATGTTGTCGCTATTTTTAACCAACGTATCCAGTCATCGCCTGGCTCCAGCTGGAGGGAACCAGCGAGTGCCCTGACCAATGAGTGATTATATATAGTCGCACTAACAGGGATATATCTCGTGCAACATGTGCTGCAGCTTGGGGCCTCTCAACACTCATGCTGAGGTAACGGTACGGTTCGCACAGAATAGGACTCATTTCACTTCCGCCACAGCTTCATTTCATTTCAATAAAATAGAAACGCTTTAATACTACTTTTTTTGCAGAACATCTATGTATTGATAATGGTTTTGTTTCCTTTATTTGCTTGTTTAACGCCGCACTCAGCAATATTCCAACTATGTGACGGCGATCTGTAAATAATCGAGTCTGGACCAGACATTCCAGTGATTGACATCATGAGCATCGATCTACTCAACTTGGATACGATGACAAGGCCGTAGTAAACTTTTTTGGACAGGGGTGTGTGGGGCAAATAAGATTATTCATTTGTTATTCAAGTTACCTTTCACAAGGAAAATTGTTTTCTATAAAAAAAAATCAGTCATTATTTCGTGATTTCGAAAAAAAACCCCGCAAATATTCTTGCTGAAGCCATAAATACGAAACGCGCATGTTGAAGTCCCTCCTCTTGACCCTCCTAAATATCCCAAGGATACCGGTCGAGACCCTCGCAAGCATCCTCTATTCTTGTAGTTAACTACCAATCCACTGAGCCTGTTAAGTGGTCACGTGGCTGTTGACATAGAAACACGATAATATTGGAAGTTCGTTCTCTGCGTGGAAGACCAAAAAGGTTCAAATATTTACCTTTCTTTGTCCTCTGTTTTCGTGAATATCATTTCCGCATTGCCGCTCTGACTCATGTGGGTGTGGTCGCGAGTGTTCACAGACAGCACAATGCGTTTAGGGTGTACTCGGAGCCGGGATGTTCCTGTGTTCTACAGGGACGGTAAACGTGGAAACACGCTCCATGAGATTGTTTATGTCTTTGCTGAATTATTTTTGTATGCAGTGTTTTGTCGTGAGATTTATCTCAGATTTGTTTTCTAACACTGAAACATACCCCCCCCAAAAAAAACAACAACAACAACAAACAAAACAAAACAAAACAACCCAACAACAACAAAACAAACCACAAAAAAAACAAAACAAAAAAAACAACCCCCAAAAAAACAAACAAAACAAAACAAAAAACAACATCAAACAACACTGAAACATACAGGTTAAGAAAAGATGCGATTGATAGGCTTATATGAATGAAATCGATAAAACATAAGATATTTAAAAAATATTTTTCTTTATGAAAAAGGACAATATTATATTGTCATGTTACTTGCATCTTAATGGCTATCTTTGCTTAACCAACCATAATAATCATCGACATTTTTTT